GAATATGAATATGAATATGAATATGAATATGAATATGAATATGAATACGAATATGAATACGAATATGGATCTGAATATGAATACGAATACGAACGTGAATATTATTATTAAATGAACATGAATATAAATATAACTAAGAGTATGAGTAACAATAAGTATAAATATGAGTAAGAGTAAGAGGAAAAGTATGAGTATATGCGTACGAGTATGAGTATGAGTTTGGGTATGAGTATGAGTATGGGAATGAGTACATGAATATAAAAATAAAATATGATTTTTAATTTAGTTAAGCATTTGAATATACACACACACACACACACTGTTTTTTGGCTTACTTTAATTCCCCTCTTACTCACAGTGCGCCAGCTCAACAACCTTGGATTGCCTCACAACGAAAAAAAAAACAATGCATTCACGTGAGAATTGCAATTAATGTTGAAAAATTTTTTCTATATCAATGCAGCGCACAACAGGACGCGACAGCAGTTGTTGGTGCTGTAGTTGCAGTTAGCGAGACACTCCAATCTGCATGATGCCTTCCGCACCATGCCTTTGCATCCTTTCCGTTTGTGCAATGCCAGAGTATGTCATATTTTACAACGCCACATACCACACACACACACATACAAATATTTTAAATAAATAAGTTCCGCTGTCAAGCGTATGTATATGGTGCGCAACTACATAGAATCAACAGCAACAACGCCAATTGCAACAATATACATACAGAGACAAGTTAAAAGTGGCGGTTACATGGCGTATACGTAACGTCTGAATAAAAGCAAATAAATAAATTTTCGTTGGTAAGTGGTGGTTAAGTGAAGTTAAAAGTGTGAGTTAATGAATGCATACATGGAGTAGTGAGTGAATGAGTGAACGTGCGAACGAGTAAATGAGTGAGCTATTCAAGTGGAAGCGTGAAGGAGTGAATAGATGTATTGTTACCAACGTTCACACACACACACATGTGTGTACATACATTCATACTCGCACGCGTAACTCAAACAAACAACATGATAAGGTACTTAACGCTAGCTGCAATTATGCAATTAGGCTCTGTTGTTTATTTTATATCAAAAACACTTAAAAGCAATTATACGCTTGCACCTATAATCACACATACACACACACTAGGGTTTGCATGCTGACGACGAGTCGACCGTTGTAGGCGGTAAAAGTGCTGGAACATGCGGACGCACACAGCTGCTATGATCCATTGACATCTGTCGCACATACACACACACGCGCGCGCGAAAGTCTGCATACATACATACACATTAACAGATGAACTCAACGCGCTCACTTGGCATTCGTGCAAAATGAGGAATTAATATGGATTTGTCAATTATTAATGAGCGTCGAAAGCGCCTGTACGTGTGTAATTTATGAATTTATGCAACATGTACATTTATCCACATATGCATATGTATAAATGGTAAGCCATGTGGAAAACCCTTTACACATAAAACCATACATGCATACAGTTTTACAACAATAACACATTCATATTTACATACATATATTGACAGTTGGCACTCTTCGGCTTTTGTTGTTGCCAAATAGCAGTTGGCAAGCGGAAAATATTTAGCTATGCCGTGGCTGCTTAACCACTTCCGCTACTCTCGACGAGTTATTAGCTGCCAAAATGAGCTGCCAGCAGCGACAACTGACTATTTGACTGTCATACCAACCAAGTCTGATGAATCTTTAATGAGACATCTTAAAAGTTAAAATCGTCACGAATTTCGTGCATTACAAGCCGTTTACAAGCAGAGTGTGGACGTGTGGCATAAGCCCAAAGATAGAATATTCAAAATCCGCAGCGTGAAATTAGCGGAAGGTTTGTGGTTAAGGATTTACCTAAGCATGTTGAAATCGTTTACTTATTTAAGTACCAAATTACTTATTCTTACTTGAATATTTTACCTATTTTTGCAGCTTTTCAATAGTTCTAGAGTTCTTGAAAAGGAAAAGAAAAGTTCGACAAAATTACGCTGAAAAAAATATGTATTCAAAAAAAGGCGGAGAAGTTGAATTTAAAAAAATAAATGAAAACTAAAACTGCTCTGAGCAGCTTTTTAAAAATTATATAATATAATTCCTGAGAAGGAAAGAGAAAGTTTTGTTTTTTTAAGTCGAAAAAGTTAAATTTTGAAAAAAAAATAAAACTAAAACTGTTCTGAGTAGCTTTTCTAAGGTTCTAGAGTTCCTGAGAACGAAAAAACGTTCTACAAAATTACGCCGAAAAAACAAAATTTTATTAGTCCACAAAAATAAAATTTTATCGGTTGCCATGCTACAAGCTTAATTTTGCAGGAGTTTCTTTTTTCTTCTCAGGAACTCTAAAACTATTGAGGAGCTACTCAGAAAAGTTTTTTTTTTTATCTTTTTCATAAAAATACCTTTTTCGACCTTTTCGAGAGAAATATTTTTTTTCGGCGTTATCTCAGACCAGTTTTAATTTTTTTTTTTAATTCAACTTTTTCGACTTAAAAATTTTTTTTTTTCGGCGTGATTTTGCAGAACTGTCTTTTTCCTTTTCAGTAACTCTAGAACTATTGAGGACCTACTCAGAACAGTTTTAAATTTTTCGACCTTTTCGAGAAAAATGTTTTTTTTTCGGGGTTATCTCAGGAACTCTAGAGCTTTTGAAGAGCTCCTCAGACCAGTTTTAATTTTAATTTTTTTCGAAAATTTAACTTATCCGACTTAAAAAAAAAATGTTTTTTTCGGCGTAATTTTTGAAAAACTCTCTTTTTCCTTATCAGGAACTCTAGAACTATTGGAAAGCGGCTCAGAACAGCTTTTTTGTCTTTTTACGTCATACCGTATGCCAACTTCACAGATTTAATTTTGTCACCGTTTGTTTGGCGATTCCCCCGAACCGATTTCAAAACTTTCATTGGAAAGGTATTTTTCTGTAGATGTGGAGAGTTTTTACGGTTTCAAAATTGGTTAAAAATTTCGTTTAAATACTTCCGTATTTGTGTATATTTAGTTGTTGTTGCAACCTGTTCAATTTAAATTATTTTCGCATTTGGTTTACGTCGTATTTAAAATTAGACATTGTTAAAAAGATAAAGAAAGAAATGCTGAAAGCAAAATTTAAGATAAAAACCAAAATGAAAACAATGAGAATACATAATATGTACACATAAGAATTAGAGTAACTGAAATCGTAAGAAAATTCATTGAGATTTTTTATTTTATTTATTATTTTATATAGTTTTTTAATTATGGAATTTTTCAAGTTTTCATCACCGAAGTTATTAGTTATCGAAATTCATCGGATCATCCAAGTTTACTAAGTTCTCCTAGTATATGGAGTCAGGGACCCAGAATAATAATTATTTCATGGTGGAGTTTTAAAAAATTCATCCAAATTTTCGATAACTATTATTTTAAGACTTACATAATAGAAGTCTTTTCATAATAATTATCATTGAGATAAATAGTTTTAAGTCTTCAAAGACTTTTATTTTGAGACTTATATTATAAAAGTCTTTTGATAAAAATTATGAGTGCGAACAAACTTTGTATATAGTCCCGAACGGGACCCAACTGGGCCCAAACTACTCCCCGAACTATTCCCCACCTAATTCTGAAATGCTCCCGTCTCTAAAGACTTAAAAACTTTGTTCGCGCTCATAATTATTATGAAAAGACTTTTATATTTACTTTATTCTTTTCTCTTATGATGTCATGTGATGTGATGTGAAGTGTCGTTATCGAGTTATAAAACATATCGGATTATCGAAATTGATTAAGTTAAATAAATTTTATTTTATATGATATTTATTTAAAAATCAATATTTGTCGTGTGATCAAAATTTATAGAGTTATCGAAGTTTATCGGGTGAACGAAATTTATAGAGTTGTTCTTACAAATATCGATATTTATTTCTTTATCGAAATTCCTTGGTAGTTATCGAAATTTGTCGGTTTATCAAATTGAAGTTTTTGGAATTTTCAAAGAATATCGGGTACCGGAATTCTTTTAAAGTGGGCGGTGCCATGCTCATTTTCCTAAACTTTTATAATTGAAGGAGTTAGCATCATAAGGGTCAAAGTGAAATTTTTTGAAAATATAATGTATACCCATATTTGTATAGTTAAATATAGTGTTTATTTAGTGACAAAGAGTAATCATTATTTTAATTAGTTAATTAACCTGGATTCATTTATGCAAGAATCATTTCAAATGCATTTACACAGAATTTACAAAAAGTAAATAGCTTTAACCTTATTCTTCTCAAAAAATTTCAGATCTGCTTAGATGCTTTCCATTCTTATCCAGTCTTATTTTAAAGCGCAATGCTACTTCAAGTATAAACTTTCAACAACTTGGATCCAGTATTTACAGAAATATCGAACCATTTCAATACCAACCTACCTTGCATAAAGGGCAACCTTTGTACAAAATGACATATCTAAATTTTTGCAGGTGGGCAAATGGACGGACAGACAAACATGGCTAAATCGACTTCTCTATTCATTCTGAGCATATTATTATACATATATGGGTATATCTTTATCGTTTTATTTAGGCTGTTACAAACAGTCGTTATGTGAACAAATTATATAAGAATTGCAAATAGGCAAAGGGTTTAAGAATTGCAAACACGTATGGTTGCACAACCAGTTGATTTTGGTTTGTCAAACCTACACTAGTTTGATTAGATACATTGACATAGAGGTACGCATCTATTGTGTCCTCAACTATTCATGGTACCTGGTCCAAATCTAAAGATCCCAGAAATTTGAAAAGATCTCCAGGGGTTAGCGATTTCATAAGTTGTTCACTTGACCAGAGTTGGCCTAGGTACCTAGGTCCCGTCTTCTCGTAACCACCTAGCATTCGCAAAGCAGATGTGAAGGAGTCCCCCCAGTCAACTCTCTGGAACGACATCGGCCGTTCGACTTGATCGCTAGCTTGTGCAAGTGACCTCTTAGTCTGCAGTGACCCGTCAGAAAACTACTACTAACTTGTCTTTGAGGTGGTTTATGATCGCCCTGTACCTTGTGAGGTCGTATCCTCCTAGTAAGCGTTTAGCTTAGCATAGATCTGCGCTGTTACGCCACCATTGATCTCTGAGTGTGTTCCTTTTATTCCTGATGTTTAAATGCTTCGCATCTGGCATTCTAATAGTTCTTGAATGAAACACTAAGTATGTAAGTAGGTACGAACGTGCATTAAATAAAATAATTTCATTTCTCATTACGCTCTTGTTTGGTGTTTTATATAAATAGTGCCATAATTTGGAACCTAATCACAATAACCTTAGACCCACGGCAAATACTTATCAATGATAGGAGAGAGGATGTTAAAGTATATATGTACATATAGACATACATACATATGTATAGCCTTCCGGTGCATATATAATATTGTTTAAATGTGTTTCTGTTTTTTATTACAAGTGATAGGTTATTCATGAAAGAATTGCAAACATTGCCATTTGAGATAATTGTAGAGATAATTAAAAATACATTTTCTTGGAAAAGAGTCTATACTTTCATGCAAATTCAGTAATCACTTAATTACGTACGTACAGTAGGGTGCCCATCGAAAATGTTTTTTTTTTGGAAATTTCAAGATCCCACCCTCAAATTTTATTTGTTTTTATGAGAAATATTATTTCCAATATTTGTAGATTTTTTAAAGGTCATTTAGAGGTCGCGACCTGTCGATTTAGGCCAGAAAATACAATTTTGTAGATTTATGAGTTTTTGAATGACCATCTTTGATTCGCTTTCAAAGATCGAATATGATGTGAGAAGAGGATATATAGGCTTTTTTAACGGGTAAACTAAAAAAAAACATATTTCTCTTAATGTTTCAACCATTTGACCATCGATAATTTCCACATTTTCAAAATATCGGTCAGTAAAGTAAAAATTTTTAGTTTAAATTGAATCGACTAAAGAGCAGAATCCCCCTCACATACAGGCCAAGAATAGTAGCGCTGTAATATCATATGGAATACCAATCCTTTCGATGTCATGAGCTTTACCGATGGTCTTATTCCCACCTGTGAGATCTCCACCAAGCGTGCGTAATATTCTTCTATGAGCCTGCAACTTCAGCATTGGTCCGGTGTACCATGTAAGTCCTTATACGGAAACTCAAGAGCACAGATGAGCGTTCTCAATTATATGAAGGCCAAGAATCCTCGCTGTCCCACAGGATGAAAAGTTTTCCCATAAATGAGTCGTGTGATCTCTTGAATATAGTTCAAATGAAGCCATCGATATACCTATCGTGTTCCTTTTTGGACAGATGTGGTCGAATCTTTCCTTGTCAATTCGCCAATTTTATAATTCGTCTTAATATTTATGAATTGGTTTCTTTGAGTCTTACTGCTGTAATAACGGACGCCTCGAGCAACTTCGTCAATCGGAGGTAGATGCAAGATCATGCTTACACAGCCATCTGAAAAATAAGTTCGTCTAAGATAAACAAACCCTGTGGGGTTTCTATATATTTCGGGTGCAGCGTCATCCATTGGGTCCCTTTTCTGCAGCACCTTTGCGAATTGTGGATTCCAATCAAATTTTATACAAAATACGGATTTTCTAAGAACCTAAACTCTAGTGGGTCCATTTTTAACAAAGGAATTTTTCATCATACAGGTAGTCACGCTGCGTATTTTAACGAAATCTGCTAATAAATACGACTTTTATAATAACTCAACTCCAGCGCCACCAGCGTGTTTTCTAGTAGCCTATAATAGGACCTCCGACAATTTGACTGGGCACGATTGAGTGGTTTTTGAGTTTAGTCCGAAAAACGGAAATGGCTATCATTTTATGTATGTAATCTTCCTTATCCTGAGTTTCACCCGAAAAAAAAAAAATTCACGTGAACGCGAAAAGTGTACCGGTTCAGGGAAGATAAAACTCATGATAAGGATGAATATGTTTCGAATGAAAAAAATCATCATGAAAGTAATAAACGTTTCGAATGTATATTAACAAAATAGGTTCATAAATATGGCTTTAATAAATAACTCAACTGCAGCACCACCTAGCGGGTCCGTTTTTGCAAGTGCTTTTTTTTACGAAATCGGTTCATAATTACAACTTTTATAAATAACTCCCCTCCCGCCCCACTTAGCGGCTTCGTTTTTAGTAAACGTATTTTCCATTATGCTGAAACTATACTTTTTGAATTTGAAAGAAATCGGTTCATAAATACGACTTTTATAAGTAACTCGACTCCCGCGCCACCTAGCGGGTCTATTTTTGGCAAACGTATTTTCCATCATGCTAGTAGATCACATTTTGAACTTAAAAGAAATCGGTTGATAAATACGATTTTTATAAATAACTCTACCCCGAGTTTTCTGGTAGCCTCAAATAGGACTATATATGCAAGGTATAACCTCTGAAAATTTGACTGAAATCTATGCAGTAGTTTTTTAGTTAAGTCCGAACAATGAAAACTGCAATTATTTATAGATGAATGAATCGCTTGATTACCCTGCAGAAAAAATATATCAACTGATTAAAAACAACCAACTTCTAGCTAGCTGTTTTTCGGGAGTTCGATAAATAACTAACTTTTAATTAGCTATGACAAAACTAATTATAAATGAGTTGCAAAGTCGTGCGCAGTCATGCAGACGTTATCTTGACTTCCTTTTCTTTACAAGTTTCTATTGAAATATTCTCATTAAAAAATTACTTTCAATACACTCTTTTTTCTGCACTTCGCAGATTCTTTTTCGTATTCAGCACAAATAAAATAAAGGTCGTAATTTTATATTAACAGGTTTGATATTATGTCTGATCGAATTCAAATGTCAAACACAAAGAACATGTAAACAAATAAGCAAATGTGTAATTTTAAATAAAATAAAAAATTATAAAAAATTTAAAAAAAATTTGTTTATTGATAGTTTATGACCAAAAGTAGTTAGCTACAAGTTAGTTGACATCTAATGCATAGAAAACCAGTTCCCACTATTTTGTGGCCAACGCCATTCGTAGTTAGTTACGGCCAAAGGAAATAGTTAATAAATAGTTACCACTACCCGACTCCTAGTTAGTTGATGGTTAACTATAAACTAGTTCCATTTCCTGCAGGGTAATTGTTTGATACAGAATTTTTCGATCAATTATGTCAAGGCGTACATTCAACTACATATATCTCGTAAAAATTGTACGAATAAATAAGTATAAATACTGAAAATATTTTTTTTTTATTTTTACTTCAAACGTGTTAAATATTATTGCCATTTATCAAAATTATTTAATTTTAAAGGTATATTTAAAGAAATGTCAAAAAATCTAAATAAACTCATTCAAGGAACAACTAACTAGAAATCTTGAAAATTTTAGCATTTAAGAGGCTCTAAAGAAAAAATTTAAATAATTTGTTTTCTCCTAAGAAACGAGAAAATACCAAACGAAATTTTTACAGCATGTAAATAGCACGTACCCTGTAAATTTGAAGAAAATTAAAGGTCGCCTTTTTGAGAAAAATATTTTGTCGTTTTTTTATAAAATCGTATTATTGTTACGGCTTATCAAATTTTTCACTTTCATTGATCAATTTAAAAACAAAAAAAAAAACTGGGGACCAATAGCCTTAGAAGCAACAAAAAGCTTACAAATTATGAAAACTAAAAGGTTTACAAAAAAAATTGCCAAAAAATTATTATTTTTTGACAGAAGCTTCAAAAATTCGTAAAAAATACTAAATTAGTGCTATGAAAATTTAAAAAATACGTGTCCATGTATTTTTCAAGCGGAAAAACATATTTATATCTGAATATAATTCTCGATATAACATCGGAAATGGATCCAGTCACTTTTTTAAATTTTTTTATAACTATATTTTTATTCAATGCGAAAAACAAAACGAAAACTTTAAACCCCCTTTTCTGGCAATTTTGATTTTTTGAGTTATGACGTTGTACCACCAAACGAGCGGTATATCGCTCATTTACTTCAATAGTTCAATGTTTAGTTCTATTGAGATACTGGTATATAGCTATGAAGCTTTTACATAACATAGAAAACGATGTAGCGGTAATTTCTGTATACTCAACTCAAAATTGATATTTTTTTGGATGATGACACTATTGAATCAAATGAGCGATATACATATGTTTAAAAGCACTTTTTTATTTTCGTTTTCCTTCCATCACACCACCGCGACATCAATAGCAAAACACATTATTTATTAATGAAAAACTCGGAAACAGCTCTCGAAAAATAAATCTAAAGAAATTTCGCCCAAATTCTAATTTTTCACATTTTTATTCTTATTCATTAAATAATCCAACAAAAGAGACACACAAAATAAATGCATTCAACCGCGTGCTACATAAACACACTTATTATAGTTCAAGTTGTATTGCGAACCAGCAGGACATTCACCATGAATGGGACGCTCAGCCAGGCAGAGTTTATTGCCGGAATCCCATTTGAAATTGGCCGGACAGCTTTGACCCATAACGGCGAAAATCATGGCAATGCAGAGAGCGAGAAAGAACAGCACTTTCATGGTGAACTGGCAAAGAAGAAAAAAAAATAAAATAAAGATTTAAAGTGATATCAATAAAAAGGATTACAACAGATTTTGAATTTTATTTTTTTATTTATTTTTTTCTACGTTTTACAAATGTACATATGTACATACGTATGTATGCAAACGCGTAAAACAAGTTTCTGTATATTTTTTAGCACTCACTTTATTTTTTGTATTTTTCTGTTTGCTTGTCAAGTTTAAAGCTTATACTGAATCAGATTCACTAATCTGCAGCTAATTTATAGATTCAAATATTATTTGTGTGTAGCCAAATGTG